GGTCGTGTTTTATTAGGTCTAAAGCCACTCGCGCTGCGCGCTCGTGTCTTTAAACCTAATAAAACACTCCTGCTCGTTTATTAAACAATACATAAAGCACTATACGTTTTATAATAAATAGTACTTATAGATTAAGATACAATTTCTTTCGATATTTTTTACATATTTGATGAGATAAATTTTCAGGGTTTTCTTAAAGGAGGTGAAGGAAATTGTAATAGGAGTAGGCAATGAATTAGAATACTTTGGTTCTCAGACTCATATCCTGAAATAAATGTTTTTGAATTTTCTTCTGCTTGACATTGGTGAACAATGGCGATGAGTGTGACCAGTAAGCGACAAAAAATAGGATTTTTTAGGCCCTACCTGCATCAAAGTAGGTACAATTAAGGATACTTTTCTAGTTAACTGTCCTTAGCAGATTGGGCATTAGATATGGTGTCCAAATTGAATTCTTTTCTCAGCAAGTGAATATTGACATCGTATACAAATTACCTTCGAAAATACACAATGGCATATCTGCTGTTATCTCGTCCGAACACTTTAATCTGACCAACATCGCCATGTTTCTTGAATTCATGATACAGCCCACCTCTGATTGTTGTATCTGTAATCGTAGGAAAAATTCAGATTGTTGGTGTGTGCTCATCAGGTGTTCTTAACATAAAACCCCCCATCAAAGTCACCAAACTGACCAAGAGTTTTTAGAAGTCAATTGCACTTGTATATAATACCACATATGGGTAATTAAAAACTAACATTGTTATTAGTTGGTAAAAGGATAAACATGAGATCATTAACCGACATTCTTTATCCATAAACCAAAGTTAAAACATAGATCATCCATTGCACATTATGCATCCAGTTAATCATGCACCTGCACTTATGTCGCACGTTTAATTAATTGACCATTTGCGTAATAGACAAAATTTTGATCTAAACAAGTCTGGACAAAAATTTTATCACAGCTTGAAAGATCATCACAAAATTAGTAATATTCCAAAGTTTCGTTGCGAAATGTTGTAAAATGCCGATAATATAGCCTTGCGAAATTTGCAGTTTTCAGTCATTTTAGATTACAAACGGGAAATTGACAGCCCGATACGCTTTGAGGCTGTCAATTTTCTGTTTGTAATCTAAAATGACTGAAAATTGCAAACTTCGCAAGGCTATATTATCCGCATTTTACAACATTTCGCAACGAAACTTTGGAATATTACTAATTTTGTGATGCTCTTTCAAGCTGTGATGAAATTTTTGTCTAGATCAAAATTTAGTCTATTACGCAAATGGTCAATTGCATTTCGCTGTTCTGCTTTTAATTGTGCTTGCGCTTGTGTTTCCAGTAAAACCAGACTAAAACTCCATCACCGTCAGGGGTTAGAAAAATATTTTACTTTCTGGGACCGCAACTAGAGAACATTGAACATTTTCTGCAAACAATCAAGTAATACTAAATCTACACTCAGACACTGTAATCGTGTGACACCAACAATTTGTCAAACTGAATGTTATGCATGCTATACTTTAACAGAAAAAATTAATTTCATTGCACTGAGAACCTTAATAATACTTCTAGGAATATAACATAAAACTAATCTGGGACATCGGACAACGCAATCCCGTCGTCCAACAGTTTTTCCATCCGTGGGAGAAAATTATAGGTAACAGTTCTAAGCTCACCATTTGATCTAGCGGATAAATTTCGTATCTGTAGCGCTACGGGTTTCTTGACACCACGTGACGTCTCTGATGCTGACGAATCACTGTCACTGTCGCTATCACTATCACCACTGCCGCTGGAATCACTGCCACTATCTGAGCCCGCGCTGCCACTCGGACCACTCTCGCTTTCTTTGCGTTTTGGAGGATTGCGCGCAGCACGTCGAAACGACTCGGGATTTTCATCTAGGAAAAAAATTGAACATGAAATTTTCAAAATTATCCCGAGATTGTAATTTCATTGTAGGTTTTTGGCTGTTAGATCGTGTGCCTTTAAAACCTTTGTAGTCTGGGTTCAAATGTTGGAATAAGCCATTTTCCGAATGTAATTTCAGCCGCATGAGCTATCAAGTGTAAATAATGTTGGCAGGCTAAATAAAGTATGTTACGTAATTGTGTGCAATACCAATAGACCTTTGCATGCATGGTTTTTCCAAATTTCTATAATAGGCGAGCACTCATGCTTCCTCACTGTTTAGTGCTTGAAATATTTGCTAAAATTGACTGGGAATACTTAGATATTTCATCGTAGAATGGCGTAGTTATATTTATTTGCTCTTTGACTAAAATGTTTAGCTGTATTATTGCTAAACATGCCGTTTTTGAGAATTTGATTTGCAACTAGGTTTCAACATCCAATCACGCCACCAGTCCATTGAAAACATTAGGTCATGTCAGCTAGTTTCCTATCCATTTGTTTTATTATCCATGGTTTGATATAGGCTTAATCTTGGAACATGCATATCTGAAGTGCTCTTAGAGGGAAAAGGAATAGATGAAGCGCGCACAAATTTGCCGGAATCTACTGAATGTGCGCACTGCCAAAGTCACCATTAAACTTGACAAACCAGTCATTCTCGATGAACTTCTCTCATCAGCATCCCCTCTGTCATAATCTCTCCTTGGTGGACCGTCTTTATAACCATATGACCCTGAATACCCCTCCGTCTGTCTACTGCTGTACCCGTCGTCACCAGGCCTAAACGGACACGCGATATTGTTCAGTTTAAAAATATACTGCAATTAATTAACGTTAGATTTGAAAAAAGCGCACAAAGATTTCATTCACATATGCGCGATCTAAAAAAATATTTGAACGACTGAAATGTTATTACAATTGGGGAAGAATGAAACAGACCTTGAAATGCCCTAGTGTACATAATTAAGAGACAAGAATTTCAAAACTGCCAATTTTGATTGTGAATTACTTGGGTATTGCATTAGGCAAGCATAAATTATTTGATTAATAAAATATGACTATACTAGCAACAAAATTGTTGCAAATCAACAATAACGGATTTCAACGTGTGTTGGATAGAAAGTTTTACATGTATGTTGCCCATATGTTTTTTCAACTGATGCATCAACATTTCACACGTTCAAATCAGCTTTTCTTGAAAGCTTTTCAATTTTGCTGCTAGTATTATGGTTTCCCCAAATTCAAGCGTTTTGACAGTTTTCAAATTTGTGTCTTAATATTAGGCATACTTACCGATTCGTATATTCTTACAACTGATCTACTAACACAATTCCACGAAGGGAAAACATTATGTCCAGTTCGGGGCATTTACAAAGCACATATATCTCATTCCGAACTTTCATATAAACAACCACTGATACACAAAGGTTATAAAAATATTTCCTTTTTGATATTAGTAAGAATTAGTAACTACCATGCCCTCCACTGAACAGAAAAAATACATAAAATCAAATCCAGGAAAATAAAACATTTGCAGATGCTTGCGTATTATCTTAAAATACACTTTTCTTTAACCATTAAACCATATCTTTATCGCAGCTTCGCCATAATATATAATAAAGCCTTTTTCCACGTTGCAAATATACCATCTAATGCGCCATTCCAATGTGAGGTCATGTTGATATAACAATATAAATCCATAGATTCCACTTTTAAACCAGAAATCCATAGTAAGTAGAAACGCCAATTTAAAACATTGGATTATCATCGCTGTAACCATTTACACTGAAACACCATATTTTTTGTATCCATGGAAACCATCGCACAGCCACATTTCAACTTGATACAAAGCATGCACGCATCACGCACCATAAACCTTTCGACCATAGGGAAAGCCATGCTTTTGATGTAAACCAGAATACCATGCCATAATACTCGAGGAATAAGGACCATTTTACACCACGTAACCAGACATCTTTCATGCCATGAAATAATGGACCATACCATAAAATGATGATCGCCAAAACAGTACGTCAATAAATTATATTGCCTTATCTCGCACGACATAATTGAACCGAAAAAATTGTGAATCCGTATGACAACTGCCAGGAATTGGAAAATTTGGAACATATTTTTGTTTTAAAATATTTGAAGATAATACTGTTACGGAAAAATTTTTACGTCTCTCTACGCACCGTTTACCAGATTATGTAAAATAATATTTATGACAATACGCTTAGCAAAATTTGTAACGAACGTTTTTTAAAAGTTTATTACTTTGTTTGGTATCACGTTGATTAAAAATTTAGAATCTGAATTACTTTTTGTAACCATACGAGAATTCTTCCATAAGTAGAAAGTGTTACAGCTTTAACTCATTCTGAAGATAACATTTAAACATGTTTACATTTAAACTTTTGTCGTTTTTGAAAGTTTTAATTATACTTTGCTTTTAAGGTTTATGCAAAAATTATCAGGGCTTAGAAAGATTTGTTTCTTTTAAAGTTTTAAAGACCATGTCAAGTCCATAATGTAAACAAATCCTTTGTTTACATTTTGAACTGTTATATTTGTAAAATAAGACATACTAACTGAATTGATCTAACATTTTTCTGGTTCGCAATTGTAAATGAATATAAACTAGAGTACGTTTCAATTCAAAAAAGTTCGAAAAATGCAAAATTTGGGCAATGTTTATATCTGTGGGTCCCCCTTTGTTATGAGAAGAACTGATGCCCAGACTTGACATGGTCTTTAAGATTTTATATTTTGGATTTTAAAAAGTTTGAGAAAAAATGGTAAATGAAAAATATAGTGCAAAGCAGTTGTCATATATTTTCACATAAACCACCATGATCCTCAGCAGATTTTAAGCTTGGGTCGGAACACCATTATGGTAGTAATGCCTTTCCATGAAGGGAAATAATTCCATAACCAGCACCACCCATTTTGTAAACCAAAATGATGATATTGAGCCACCATTCATATACAATTACCACTATATAACCTTGCATTTTGTTGAAATATTCACACATCCTCATGGCTCTGCATACTATTCCATGGGCATATATTATAAAATCACCAGTGAACACATGCTGCATTTCGTTTGCTAATAGTTAGCAACTAAATGCACGTAGATGTTACCAATGCTAGGCAATTGTGGCATAATAACTGCAAGCAATTACTGTATGGGTGGCTAAATAATTCAGTCTTCGATTGATTTGAATTCATGAATGACCTTTTTAATTCAAATGAAATGACCAAATTTTGATTGCATTAATGGTGGACACTTGGAAGAGAGGGGGCTTCCAGTATTTATTGCCACTCTTTTGTTGTTCTAAATTGCATACCAGCCCTGTACACTTTTTGCATGAAATTTCATTCAACTTTGCTTAATTTATAGCTTTGCAATGCTTTTCGTGGTTGTAAAATTATTGTTATTTTCTTTGGTAATCAGCTATTCAACTACCATTCAAAGGCTTGTCCCTCCACCCTCCATCCTCCCACTCCTAGTGTCCGCCACTGGATTACATAGTTTGGCAAATCATATGAAAATCTCAGCCTCGCCCTGTTTGGTTATCATTTATGAAATGTGCTTTTGTCAATGAACCTGGCAAGTTGATGAAATTTAATATCCTGGGGAAAACAAAATGGAACCTCAAACTTATGCAACTGTGTGCATTATATCACAAAACAACATCATTATCAATGTACTACATATTTCAAATCTTCTTTTATTTGAGAAAAAAATTGAAAAGAACAGAAAAACATATATGACATGCAAGAAACAAAAACAATTTATGATTCAAAACCAACCATACCACTTACCCTCGCCCACCGCGTTCATACCGCCTACCCTCGTCATGTGACCTCGTTAAGGTGGAACTGGCCGGTTCATTATAATCTGTTCGAAGTTCCCTGTCACCCAAACGGTTTGGCGTCTCGTGTGCTTTGATAGCACATCTTATGTCAACAAAATCCACGAAAGCTGCCTGTCCACCATCGGCTGAACGCTTTGACAAGACTTTTACAGAATCGATTCGACCAAATCTGAAGAAATGAGAAAATACGATTTTAAAAATAGACGTGCCAAGGTGTTGAGGGACATCACAATATTTCTGTGTGGGACGCGAACTGGCAACAACCGTCAGATCCTTTACAGCTAAAATCTCAAGGGGATAAAGTCTTTAACCGGATAATAGCAAATATTGTTTGGAGTAATTCGTCTCCAAGATAAGATGACATGATACAACCGTTATTTTTTCAGATCAAATTAGGATTAACTTTTATGATCAGGCCAGTGTCAGTCCCAGTCGCGTATGTTGTCTTGTAACATGTTATGTATAATGATTTTTCTGTGTTGGTGTAATGTACTCGGGTGAATATGATGCTCGTGATATTACTCGAGTGTATATCCACACCGGGCAAGCTTGAAAAATATGTCTGGCCATGGTGGGAATCAAACCTACGACCTTTGAAGTACTAGCCCAAATGCTCTGCCAAGTGAGCTACGCATACTTGAACCGACCTGATCTCGTAGCTCAGAGCAATTGGGCTAGAATTACAAAGGTCGTAGGTTCGATTCCCACAGTGGCCAGGCATATTTTTCAAAGCTTGCCCGGTGTGGATATACGCTCAGAGTAACATCATGTTACATATATCAGTGTCGGTGTAAACATTTGTGAGAAATTGTAGTATACACTATACACACTATATAATTGTAGTACACACATACTATATGGAATTATATATAGTCATTGTGTCACTGTTTATGAGATTGATTTTTTCTTAAAACTGCTCAGCCTAGAATGCAGGAAGACAATGAAATTATAATCATTGTGTTACTGTTTAGATCATTATTGATTTTTTGTTAAAATTGCTCCCAGAATGTAGGGAATAGCATTTCTGAGCCTTAGAAAATCAAAAAGGGAGACCTGAATTATTAGTTGAATAAATTTCTTATGTGGTGATTGTGGTGTTAGAACTCATGTAAATTATTTACTGATCTCAAACCTACTACGGTACTGGATAGACCAACCTTTTGAACTTTGGGAATACATTTTGAAGCCAGAATATTTATGAGGTAAAAAATGGAAACAGCTGATGCCAACAGATGTGGCATATTCAAAATTTGTGTTGTCACAAATACAATGAATATAGTAAAGTTTTACTGTGTATTTCTTCTATTTTCCTAGAATATTCCCATTCAAGTAGCTATATATTGAGATTCAAAATGGTTTCATTGTCTTTTAAACCTGCTAGCTAGTCGTTTAGGTTTTTTTATTTTCGTAATGAAGAAAATGGAGTCACAAAAACTACTGTTGATGTAATTGAACTTTGTGATGAGTATTTCACCATATACTAATGCTTGATATGTTCCCTGAAAATGACCAACAATATTTAGATACAGTATTCCATTGCAGAGTAGCATGGTTGTATTGTTATAATTTTTTACTAAAACGCTCAGCTTATTTTTACTAAAAGTGGAATATTTTAAACTTATTGACGTCATAATTTTTAACAATGTTGAAATGCCATCAGGACACTGAAAACATGTGTGATCACAAGTTTCCCAGTGGTGTAACTTAGCGCTTGCCCGCAGCAAGTAAAAATCATTATGGGCAAGTAGAGGTTGTTTCTTGGTTGCCAGATCAGGCAAGTTGTTTTGGCAGAAATTAAATGCTACACAAAATTGTTTGCTTGTTTATGGTACTGGTATACATTCTGTTTATGATTCTTTATTAATTAATAAATCAGCTGAAAACAATATGTCGGGTTTTGAGTCATGCTTAAGGCCCTGTTCACATGAACCCGGGACAGCGCTATGTCTCAGGGCAAGCAATTGTCGCAGGACAAAAATTGTCTCGGCTCCTTAAAAGAATAGTGCTGTTCACATGATATTTTACTTGTCCCGGGACAAGAATTGACCCAAGTGCCTCGCCTCTGTAGACAGGGACACTCGCCTAGCCGGGACAACTTTTCCTCATGTGAACACTTTGCCCGGGGCAACTTTGTCCCGGGATAATTGAATTTTTGGTAAAACGATCAAAATCGCGGCTAAAATTACATTTAGAGCATGTTGTACTCCACAAAAACTTGTTATTTGATTGAAGATATCATTATAAATCTATAAGTGATGATTCTAATAATATTAAAATAAAATTGTTGCTAATATCATGTTTGAAACCAAGAGGTGTAGTATGCTACTAAAAAAATTTGATCTGGTCAACCAGAAACAATGAATTGAGCACATTTTATTACGACTGATAATCAACTACGTTCTATTTGTAAATATCATAACATAAAATACGACTTGCGTTTATCAGAATGTTTTTTATTTGGCAATATTTCAACGTTTCACGTAGGCAGGAATATTTTATGATTCCCGCGTAATGTATTTATAGGCATGACCCGCGCTAGCTTTGTTCATGTGAACAGAAGATATCAGTACCCTGGGTCAATGACTTGTCGCGGGACAGTTGTTTATCCTGGGATCATGTGAGCAGGGCCTAAGTCTTCAATTGAATTTGTTGGGGAAATATAGGATTAGAATAACAATCTCCTTGTATTTTTCAGGCAGTTGCATCCCCGCCAATGAAAGCTTGTCATTAATGGCAATTCCTACACGGACACCAACTGTTCAATAGGATTAAAAAAATGCTGATCAATCAAACATTACTGCAACCATTTGCTTCAAATTTTGTCAATATGTGGGGGGCAAAACTAGGCCGGATGGCAAGTGAATTTTTTTCTGTTTAATTTTCATGTGCAACTCGCCCAAATCACAAGTGGTAAAAATAACTTGTCCAAATCAAATAGTGGTAAAAGTTACACGACTGAGTTTCCTATCCATTGTTTTTATGATCTGTGATGCAATTGACATAGAACTTGATCAAACAGTTCGGCATATTGTAGAAATGAAGCCCTGATGATCGAGGTGAACGCCACACAGACTGGCATAAAAAATATGTGATAATAGTAGTACAAACCTTCTATCCATGGCTGAAATATGATAAAGTCTTAACCACAATGATGAAAATATTAAACTCAATATGGGGAGTTTATAACATAGTATTTAGCATATAGCATATATAGCAACTAAGTATTTAGCATATGAATAATACTTAAGCATCATTATCACTCAAACAGCTGGTATTTTTAACAAGAGTTGCTCTTAGACATTTTTGTCAGAGTTCTAAATTTTAACATTCTGGGAAATACAGCTAGCTTTGTAATCAGCGTTCCAAACAAACAAATTTTGGGGTTTTTCCCCAAGAAAAAATCTAAACTTCATTTACAATTTTAGATTCTATTAAAATGCTGGCAAAATCCTAAAAATGAGCTGTCGCCAGCTGCAGCTGATAATTTTGAATTTTGCTTAGTAATGACAGTTTTATTGTCTTTGCAATTTTCAATATATGACACCAGGTGATAAGCTAAAATGGAGAGTACTGGGGCTGGCTGTCAATTAGCAATCCATAATTTTCGGATTAAAATTACCCTATGCATGAATCTTGTAAATTCTACTTGATTTTGTCCCCAAATTTGTCATCGACCTGCAGCAGCTTTTTTAATATTATACAAATCTTGTATAATTATATTATTTTGCACTGTCTAACACCGGACAATTTTACATGTTATGGGCAGACTTTTGTTCGTTAATTAACCCAGACAATTTTACCCTGCAACACAAGAGAGCTGGCGCTCATTTGGTTAACCATATTGTCCATGTGTCCATGTATCTAGCTAACGCGTTGCGCCTTACTTTATTATTTTACTCCGTCTAATGCCACACAATTTTACCTGGCAAAGAGAAAGCACTAGCATTAAACCGCAATTCATCCTTTACTCATACCAGACATTTTTACTTGTCCATAAGATTTACACAATCATGATTAATACCTTTGAACATTAAATCCTTTTGTTTTATGCCCAAACGTGCATGTGATATGAGACTATTAACCCAACATTCGAAAGATTTTGAAATTCACTTCAGCAAGTAAAATATTGATCAGTTCAAAACTGTCGGCTCAATAACTTATTTTAAACTTTATTTCTAAGTACGGGTAGCTTCATCAATTCTAAACTAATCTCTCTGGTGGTCCAGTAGTAAAAGAACCATTCTTCATTGCTTGAGCCACAGCCCTTGGCAATATTTGGTAGCCCTTTATAGGTGTTGGTCTCGGAGGCAAAAATATTGCAATCAGATGGCTGCTTTACAAATTAAACCCTTGTCCGAGTGGTGAGAGGCTTCTACACAAAAATCAACTGTACAATCAACATCCCACAAACGCCCCCTGGCTGTGCAAAGCTGTAGTCTGAGTTGGGTGGTAACTTTAGTATTTAATAATGGTATTTTACTCTATCATGCTATAATTTTATTTGTCAGTGCCCATTGGAAGAGTCTTTGGTCATGCTAACAATTAATAGTTCAAAAATCATCAAAAGTAACCAACATTTCCTGTGGAGAAACAAGCAATTGTTGCATTGCACGGCCAGAGAATAATATTTTCAAATCGAAAGCGAAGCACCAGCCCGAACACGCTTCCTGATTGTAAACAAAATTATCAAAACTATCAACTTTGCAGCTCCATGAACCGATCTCGCAAAAAACTTTTGAATACTTTGCACAGCTACTAATCGCTTCGCTCCTTTAGCTTTCGTTTAAAATATCGCCACGTAAACCTGCCAAAAATTGAACAAACCATTATATACCTTTGAAAGTATTCAACAACGTCCCGTTCTGTTGTCGAATCTGGTAAATTTCCAACCCATAAATGTCTTGTTTCTCGCACAGGAGGCATCCTCAGTAAAGTTTAAGATGTATCCTTTTATGATTTGTGTAGTTTTTGCCGTAATTCTTGCATAAAAACGTGATTTGGTGGACGAAAACTTGATAAAATTCGAAAGTTTGTATATTTTTTGAAGATTCTTGCATGGGCAAGCCTGGGGTGTATTGTGGGCCGGCGAACATGTGGCGAGACCATGATGCATTGCCAGCTTGACAAAAAGACGCACACTGATCTTAGACTTAAATATATCACTGATATGTGACCCGCTAGTAAAAACAAAATAATAATTGATAATAATATAAATGTTATTGTGTTAGAGAGATGTCTGTCTTGGACTGTTCCACTTTTAATATCCGTACACCTTCTGTGGATTATAGCTGGAGTTTTTCAGAGACCTCTGTAATTATTGTCCCTGAAATTCTGGGATACAGTTGAATTAAGTTGCATTGCACCCCAGTGAATGTGACCTTAGGCTACTTTATTATTTTACTCTGTCTAAACACCAGATGATTTTACTCATCAGGGGCATGGGTTAATTTTTTCTGGCTAAGTATTTTCCTTCGAATTAACTAAGGTTTTTTTACTTGGAATTATTCATGATCAGGGGTACATAACATATTTTGGGCTTGGGGTTCCTCAGGGGTATAACTATGAACACGTAACCTCGACAGGGGATGTGCGGATATTAAATGGAAATATGGAATAGCCCACGATGTCCGTTTTGGAGAGGTGACAATAATAGAGAGATGATTGTCGAGCTTATTAATAAGAAGTGTCTGTAGAGATGTCTGTATTAAAGAGGTGTCTGTATTAGATATATCTGTAAAGATATATCTGTATTAGAGAGACGTCTGTATTAAATTTCATCTGTACTACAGAGACGGTATTAGAGAGATATCTGTATTAGAGAGATGTATGTACTATAGTCTATAGAGATGTCTGTGCTAGAGGTGTCTGTATTAGAGAGGTCTCTGCAGTCTGCATGTGAGAGGTGTATGTACAATATGTATCAGAGAGATGTCTGCTACTCTGCTCTAATAGCAGAGTAGCAGACATCTCTCTGATACATATTGTACATACACCTCTCACATGCAGACTGCAGAGACCTCTCTAATATAGACACCTCTAACACAGACATTTCTATAGACTATCGTTAGTACAGATAAAATTTAATACAGATGTCTGTATTAAATAGGTGTCTGTCTTTGAGAGGTCTGTATTTGTAGAGAGTATATAAACTAAAATGTGAGCATGATTGCATGAAGATTTTAATTCTGCCATTCTGGGGTCCACTGCTGCCAATACTAACCTCATACCTAATTTTAGTGTGCAGTGATAACCAATTTGTGCAGTGATAAAAGTAAAATGTGCAGTGATAAAATGTAAAATGTGCAGTGATAAAATTTGCTTTGATAAGTTGTTAATTAACACAAGAGAATGATTTAATTGA